CCTCAGCCTCCCTATAGCTGGAATTACAGGCTCATGCCACCATGCCTGACTAATTTTTGTATTTTTAGTAGAGACAGGGTTTCACCATTTTAGCCAGGTTGGTCTTGAACTCCTGACTTTAGGTGATCCACCCGCCTTGGCCTCCCAACGTGCTGGGATTACAGGCATGAGCCACCATGCCCAGCTAGCTATTTGTGTATCTTCTTTGGAGAAATATATTCCGATCCTTTGCTTATTTTTAAATTGAATTATTTATCTTTTATTATTGAGTTGTAAGAACTCTTTATATGTTCTGGATGCAAAATACTTAATATATGCTGGATACTTATTAGATATGATTTGCAAATATTTTCTCTCATTCTGTGGGTTTTTTCTTTTTAAAATTGTGATTAAATATGTGTAACATAAAATTTATTTTAACATTTCTAAGTGTACAGTTCTGTGACATTATTAAGTATATTCACATTGTTTTGCAGACATTACTACCATCCATTTCTAGAACTTTTTCATCTTCCCCAACTTAAACTCTGTACCCACTAAGCAATAACTCCCCATTTGCTTCTCCCCCAGCTTCTATCTCTATAAATTTGCCTACTCTAGGTACTTCATGTAAGTGAAATCATGCAGTATTTGTCCTTTTGTGTATATTTATTTCACTTAGTATATTATCAAGGTTCACCCATGCTGTAGCATTTGCCAGAATTTCCCTTTTTTATGGCTGAATCGTATTCCATTTTGTGTAAATACTGCATTTTGTTAATCCATTCATCTGTTGATGGACATTTGGGTTGTTTCTACCTTCTGGCAATTGTGAATAATGCTGCTGTGAAGATAGGTATACAAATATCTGTTTGAGACCCTCCTTTCAGTTATTTTGGCTATATACCCAGATGTGAACTTGCTAGATCATATAGTGATTCTGTGTTTAAATTTTTTTGCAGAGCCGCTGTACTGTTTTGCACAGTGGCTACTCCATTTTATATTCCACCAGCAGTGCACAAGGATTCCAGATTCTTTGCATCCTCACCAACAGTTGTACACTTGTTATTTTCTCTTTTGTTGTTGTTGTTGTTGTATTTTTTTGGTTTTGTTTTGTTTCTGTTTTTTTGAGATGGAATCTCGCTCTGTCGCCCAGGTTGGAGTGCAGTGGCGTGATCTTGGCTCACTGCAAGCTCTGCCTCCTGGGTTCACACCATTCTCCTGCCTCAGCCTCCCAAGTAGCTGGGACTACAGGCACCGGCCACCACGCCCGGCTAATTTTTTATATTTTTTTTGGTAAAGACGGGGTTTCACCGTGTTAGCCAGGACGGTCTCCTGACCTCATGATCTGCCCACCTTGGCCTCCCAAAGTGCCGGGATTACAGGTGTGAGCCACCATGCCCAGCCCTATTCTGGGTGTCTTGCATTTCCACATGAAGTTTTGAATCCATTTGTGAATTACTGCAAAGAGGATACCTGTCATTTTCTTTCTTTTTTTTTTTATAATGATAAAAGTTTAATTCACCAAAAAGATACAACAATGATAAATACAGGCATATCTCATTTTGTTGCACTTCACAAATACTGAGTTTTCTTTACAAATTGAAGGTTTGTAGCAACCCTGCATATAGCAATTCTATTGGTACCATTTATCCAACAGCATGTGCTCACTTCATGTCTCTGTGTCACATTTTGGTAATTCTCTATTTCTTTTTTTTATTATTATACTTTAAGTTCTAGGGTACATGTGCACAACGTGCAGGTTTGTTACATATATATACTTGTGCCATATTGGTGTGCTGCACCCATCAACTCGTCAGCACCCATCAACTCGTCATTTACATCAGGTATAACTCCCAATGCCATCCCTCCCTCCTCCCCCCTCCCCCCATACCTGTCATTTTCATAGGGATTGCACTGTACCTATAGATCGAGTTGGGGATACTGCCGTCTCAGCAACACTTAGTCTTCTGATCCATGAATGTTGGATGTTTTTCCGTTTATGTAGGTCTTCTCGAATTTCTTTCAACGACATTTTGTAGTTTTCAGAGTATAAGTTTTCATTTCCTTTGTTAAATGAAGCATTGCATTATATTTGATGTTATTGTGAAATAATTGTTTTTCTTTCATTTTTTATTTTGTTTTGTTTTGTTTTTTATTTTTTTGATACACAGTCTCTCTCTGTTGCCCAGGCTGGAGTGCAGTGGTGTGATCATAGTTTACTGCAACCTTGAACTCCTGGGCTCAAGCCATCCTCATGCTCCAGCCTCCCAGATAGCTGCAGCTACAGGTGTATACTACCATGCCTGGCTAATTTGTGTGTGTATGTATGGAGATGGGGGTTCTTGCTATGTTGTCTAGGCTGGTCTCTAACTGCCAGGCTCAAGCAATCCTCCCACCTCAGCCTCTGAAAGTGCTGGGATTAGAGGCACGAGCCACCATGGCCTTAGGTTTATTTTTGGATTGTTCCTTGCTAGTATATACAAATACAAATGATTTTTGCATATTTCTTTGTACCCTACAACCTTGCTGAACTTGTTTAATAGTTCTAGTAATTTTTAGTACATTCCTTAAGGTTTTCTATATTACAGTATCATGCTATCCATGAATAGAAGCAGTTTTACTTCTTCCTTTCCAATCTGGATGTATTTTGTTTCTTCTTCTTCTTTTTTTTTTTTGAGATGGTGTCTCACTCTGTTACCCAGGTTGGAGTGCAGTGGTGTGATCTTGGCTCACTGCAACCTCTGCCTCCCAGGTTCAAGCAATTCTCCTGTGTTAGCCTCCTGAGTAGCTGGGACTACAGGAGCACGCCACCACGCCTGGCTAATTTTTGTATTTTTAGTACAGTCAGGGTTTCACCATATTGGTCAGGCTGGTCTTAAACTCTTGACCTCAGGTGATCTACATGCCTCGACCTCCCAAAGTGCTGGGATTAGAAGTGTGAGCCACCGCACCTGGACTTTTATTTTTTGTTTCTTTTTCTTGCCTAATTGTCCTGGCTCGCACTCTAATACAATGTTGAACAGAAGTGGCGAGAGTAACCATCTCTGTTGTGTTCCTGATTGTAGAGGGAATTAGTTCAGTTACTTACCATTAATCAAGTATGATGTTAGCTGTGGGGTTTTTTGTTAATGCTCTTTATCAAGATGAGGAAATTGCATCTATTCCAAATCTGAGTATTTTTATTTTGAAAAGGATCTTGTCAAATGCTTTTTCTGTCTGTTGACATGATCATGGAGTGGTTTTTTTTATAACTTCCATTACATTGATTTTCTTGTGTATAACTAGCCTTGCGTTTCTGGGATAAATTCTACTTGCTCATTGTGTATAACCGACCTTTTTTTTTTGAGACAGAGTACAGAGTCTCGCACTGTTGCCCAGGCTGGAGTGCAGTGGCGTGATCTCCACTCACTGCAACCTCCACCCTGGGTTCAAGCAATTCTGCTGCCTCAGCCTCCCAAGTAGCTGGGATTACAGGTGCCTTCTACCACGTCCTGCTAATTTTTTGTATTTTTAGTAGAGACGGGATTTCACTGTGTTGGCCAGGCTGGTCTTGAACTCCTGACCTCGTGATCCGCCTGCCTTGGCCTCTCAAAGTGCTGGGATTACAGACATGAGCCACCACGCCCAGCCTGTATAACCCTTTTTGTATGTTGCTGGATTCTGTTTGCTGGTATTTTGTTTAGGATTTTTGTATATGCATAAAGTATATTGGTCTATAGGTTTTTTTTCCTTGTCTTAAACCTTTAAACCTTTGCTTTTCATATCAGAGTAATATTGGTTTCATAGAATGAATTAGAAAGTATTTCTTCTTTTATTTTTTAGAAGAGTTTGTGAAGAGTCGCTATTAATTCTTCTCCAAATGTTTGGCAAAATTTACCAGTGGAGTCATCTGATGGGCCTGGATTGTTTATATGTGTGTATGTTGTTGTTGGGGGGTTAATTACTTATTCAGTCCTTTTACCTGTTGCATTGTTTCTTTTTCTTTTCTTTCTTTTTTTTTTTTTTGAGACAGAGTCTCACTCTGTTGCCCAGGCTGGAGTCCAGTGGCGTGATCTCGGCTCACTGCAAGCTCCGCCTCCCAGGTTCACGCCATTCTCCTGCCTCAGCCTCCCGAGTAGCTGGGACTACAGGCGCCTGCCACCACGCCCAGCTAATTTTTTGTATTTTTAGTAGAGACAGGGTTTCACCATATTAGCCAGGATGGTCTTGATCTCCTGACCTCGTGATCCTCCTGCCTCGGCCTCCCAAAGTGCTGGGATTACAGGTGTGAGCCACCGCGCCCAGCCTGCATTGTTTCTTACTTGTAGAACATGAAGGCTGCTTGCAGAAACACACTTACATAAAAGGAGAGGGATTCTGGGAAGAGTGGGCCTAGCAGGAATTTGGTAATTTAGGGGTTTCTAGTTGGCTATACCTGGAGCCATGCCTTCTCCTCTCCTCTGTATTATTACATCTCAGAGGAAGCAGTCTTCCTTCTCCTGCCTAAATGAACACCACTGAGGTTAGGACCAATAGCTGGAGCCATATCCTGGATGGAAAAGATGGGTGTGTGTGTATATGTGTGTGTTCTGCCTTACCTCAAATATTGATAAAAAGTGAAGGAAGGTACCTCAACTGTTGAGATTCCCAGATCATGAATGACAGACCACAGTGAACCCGGGAACAGCCATTTAAAGCATGAGATAGCTCTCCATGTGCTGAAAAGAAGTGATCTCGGCTGGTTGTGGTGGCTAATGCTTGTAATGCCAGCAATTTGGGAGGCCGAGGCGGGCGGATCATGAGGTCAGGAGATCGAGACCGTCCTGGCTAACACGGTGAATCCCTATCTTTACTAAAAATACAAAAAATTAGCCTGGCATGGTGGTGCTTGCCAGTAATCCCAGCTACTTGGGAGGCTAAGGCAGGAGAATCCCTTGAACTCGAGAGGCGGAGGTTGCAGTGAGCCGAGATCACGCCACTGTACTCCAGCCTGGCAACAGAGCGAGATGCCGTCTCAAAAAAAAAAAAAAAGTGATCTCGTGCTCACTTCAGCAGCACATATACTAAAATTGGAACGATACAGAGGGGATTAGCATGACCCCCGCGCAAGAATGACATGCAAATTTGTGAAGTGTTCTGTATTAAAAAAAAAAAAAGAAGTGCTCTCTAAGATATATAATTAAGTGAAATCTGCAGAATAGTGTGCTTCCATTTGTGTAAGAACAAAACATGCAAGGGAGCCTGTGGATGCATAGGCTGGTCATACATGGCACCTTGGCACCCATGATGAGAGTCAGAGCTAGTGAGAGACTTAGTACCCTGTGGGGTTGTTTTCCCTTGTGGTTATGTGGCCTTAAACAAAACTCTTTCTAAAGTAATGTGCCTGCTTGAAGTGCAGTGGTGAGCCTGTGTGTGAGGAGGCTGTGCCCTTGGCAGCAACAGCTAACCTTGGCAGAATCTGAACATCTCAGAGACATGGCCTGAGGAGCCTCATGAGTTGTCTCTGCCACAGTGCGGGAGGCACTATCTAGACCTCCATTTACTTGAAGCCTAGTGTTCCTCAGGAATTCCTGCATCTACCTGTGGGAAACTGGTGATAGATCTCAAAGGCCCTCCAAGGTTGGATGTTTCCTTCTGAGCGCCGTTTCAGCAACACAGAAATCTCGGTCTGTTTCTCCAAGGTGAAGGGCTTTCGTTGCCCTGTTGCCTCCCCGTGGACTTCTGGCCAGGTGGCCCCACAAAAAAGCACCTTATTCTTTCTTGGCAGATCCAATCATGGCTCCTGCCTCCCACCATGAGTCGGGATATTGGGGAAATGAAGCAGATGCCAGAAGTCTTTTGGGTTTCCCAGGCCAAAGGAGCTTTCACACTAATAGCCTGTCCTTTTCCATTTAAGTCTGACAGAATTGGCAAGCAGGAACAATTTAGGTTTTTGGAAATATCCACAAGCTCTTTGCTTCCATCCGGAGTGAATGCTTCTCTTCCTTCACAGGGGCTACCCTAAGAGGCTGGGAAGCCTCCCAGCCTGTGCTAGTGAGATCCCAGCCCAGATTCCAGGCCTGGATCTGAGGCCTTGAACACTGAGGATCCTTGTGTCTCTCCCACAGAGAACACCTTCTGCAGTGGGGACCATGTGTCCTGGCACAGCCCTTTGGATAACAGTGAGTCAAGAATTCAGCACATGCTGCTGACAGAGGACCCACAGATGCAGCCCGTGCAGACACCCTTTGGGGTAGTTACCTTCCTCCAGGTGAGGCACAGGTTGAACGCTGGTTCAAGCCTTCCTGTAGGAAGAATCCTGAGAGGATAGGGAGGCTTGAGGAAGGGGAGTGAAGGGAGTGAGAGGTTTCCTTTGGCCTCCTCCTGATTTCTGTTTCCTCTGATGGTTTGTCAGGTAGATTCAGATGGTCTGATTTAACCTGCTGAGATGGGAGAAGGGGGAAGGGGAAGGGGCCATTTGGGAAAGAATGGCTGTAGCTGAGAGGGAGTAATGGGGGTGGCAGGTATTCTGTGAACAGTGAAGACCCAGTCTCAGGAACAGGACTTTCTAGCAGGAAGCCAGCTCTGGGTCATCCTGGCTGTTTCCCAGAAGCTGTGGTAACCTGCCCAGCTTTGACCAGTGTTTGTTTTTGGTCACGATGAAGTCTATGTGAAGTTTCCACTGATTCCTTTGATATTTACACAAACGCCTATCCCCTAATAAGGAAGGGAGGATTTTCTCTGCAAGCTGCTAGGACCTATTGGTGGTGGTTCCAAGCCTGATAGGTCTCGAAGTCTCTTGTTTACATTCCCCATGATACCAGACTGGGTAGGAATGGCTCCCTGAACCTCCCCAACTTCCAGAGACATGGCCTGAGGACACATCTTGAGTTGCTCAGGCCTTGGTTTTCTCCTTTGCAGCCAAGAGCTAGACTTGGTGTCATCCAGACACAGCAAGGGCAAGGGTCAGGCCTCAGGGCCCACCAGTGGACCCAGCCATTTACCAGCCAGGCAGCCACTCCCTCCTAAGGGAACCATCCCATCTTGGCTGCACCAGCTCCTAAGCACAGATCCTGCCTGTGGTCTTCCAACTAGAGGTGACTCAGAGAGCCTGAGTAACTGACCTTCTTGGGGTGGGGAGCTGCCATTAACACACAGTGGCTTTCTATCCTGGGCCTCAGATTGTTGGCGTCTGCACTGAAGAGCTACACTCAGCCCAGCAGTGGAACGGTCAGGGCATCCTGGAGCTGCTGCGGACAGTACCTGTGTGAGTACCCATGCAAGGTGGGAGCCTGGCTCCCTGGGCCTGGGGATGGGAGTCCCTCCACCACCCTCCATGTGGGGCTCCCTCTTGCATTGTTATTTCAGGCCCTGGTTTTTCACATCAGGGCTTCCTGACAACTCACTCGCTGACAGTCCCTGACCACAAACTATTCCCCTGTGTCCTAGGCCTGGGGCAGCAAACAGGGCAGGCTGTAGGCCCAGCCCATCAGCCCCAGATCCTCAATTACCATCATATCCCCTTTCCTTGTCCACAGTGCTGGCGGCCCCTGGCTGATAACTGACATGCGGAGAGGAGAGACCATATTTGAGATCGATCCACACCTGCAAGTATGTCTTGAGTGAGGAAAACCTTTCTAGTAACCTGTGCCTAGGCCTCTTCCAAATAACACTGGCTTTCATCCTGGGAAAATGGAGGAGCTTTATGTGTGAGTGAGTAGAAATTTGGCATCATTTGGAACTTGTCCCCTGAATTCTGCGGAGCACATAGGGAGCAGAGATTTCAGCCCAGGAAAGCTAGTCCTCAGACATATGTATTTTGGCATTTTAAAAGGATATTTTTATTGTATGTAAATTACATATTGGCTTAAAAAATTAGATCGCCAGCAATAAAAGATAAGTGTAGTGGATATTGCTTGTTTGCCCAGTATTCATTCTCCTGCCTCCCAGACTTTCTTTTAGGGAGCCACCATGGCCACCACGGCCCTGTACCAGACAGTGATGTAGGTGATACTGACTCCATGGCCCAGCTTCAGGAGTGAGTGCTGATTGGTCTAATGGTCCCATCCCCGTTCTCGCCACATTTTCTATCTTGGACAGTCAGACGCAGAGCTCCTAGCCTGGAAAGGTTGGCACCTTAGACACACAGGCTGGCAGCTGCCCACTCCCTGTGGCCCACCTGAACAGTGTTTCAGTGTCATCTTTGCTGTTTTAGAAGCATTCCTTTGGCATGTGGGTAAATTTAGAAAGCCACAAGAACGTAACTGCCTTTTTTTTTTTTTTTTTTTTGGTGGGGGCGGAGTTTCACTCTTGTCACCCAGCCTGGAGTGCAATGGTGCAATCTCAGCTTAATGCAACCTCTGCCTCCCGGGTTCAAGCAGTTCTCCTGCCTCAGCCTCCCGAGTAGCTGAGATTACAGGCGCCCGCCACCACGCCCAGCTAATTTTTGTTTTTTTTGTTTTTTTTGTTTTTTTTGAGAGGGAGTCTCGCGCTGTCGCCCAGGCTGGAGTGCAGTGGCCGGATCTCAGCTCACTGCAAGCTCCGCCTCCCGGGTTTGCGCCATTCTCCTGCCTCAGCCTCCCGAGTAGCTGGGACTACAGGCGCCCGCCACCTCGCCCGGCTAGTTTTTTGTGTTTTTTTAGTAGAGACGGGGAATTTTTGTATTTTTAATGGAGACAGGGTTTCACCATGTTGGTCAGGCTGGTCTCGAACTCCTGGCCGCAGATGATCCGCCTGCCTCGGCCTCCCAAAGTGCTGGGATTACAGGTGTGAGCCACCACGCCCGGCCTATAACTGCCTTTCTTATGGGCTTCTCCTGAAGCAGAAGCCACAGACAGCTAATAATGTTACCTGCCACATGTCTGGCTCCTTCTACTCCCCTGACCAAATTCAGGTCATTGCCATCTCTAAGCCTGTCTTGCTTCTGTAAAAAATCTGGTAAGCCACAGGCAGTTGCCGCGAGTTCCATGTGTTAGAGAAAGAGAGAGGTGGCAGCTGGACATGTAGCCAGCAGCCCCTGAGTTCTTCACTGTAGACTTGTGAGTTCTTGGGCATAAATCCTATTCATTCACAGATGATGCTCCTCGGTTTTCCTAGTGCCTTTAACACTGAACATTTCAAACTACTGCCACGATCCTCTGTTCTCTCTACTTTAAACTTGGTTTCCTTGTATCTTCTGCATATGCGAGAACCAGGAACCAGGAAGGCTATGCTTCCCTAAGCCCTTGTTCTGTAGCCACACTGGGATCCAGCATGGGGCACTGTGGGCCATTGTTTGGACCCTATCATAAGTGCCAAGTACTAAGAAAGAACCTGGTCCTTTGCACTAGAAGGGTAAACAGCTGTCCTTCCATGCCAAGAGCTATTCTCCTTCCTAGTCTGCAGGCTCCCCTGAGAGCAGCCCACGGGACCCAGGGTCCCACAGGGAGAAAGGACAGCTTTCCTTCCTGGTGGCTCTGTGTACCAAGTGTGAATTGGTATACTCTGTATTCACTGTGCCTTTCAGGAGCCTGCTTGCTATCAGTCCATTTAGAGCTGGCGTATATTCCTGTGATCCAAGCTCTAGGCTAACCAGCTGTGTGCCCAAACAAGTCCCTCGCCTTTCTGCGTCTTAACGTTTTCTTTTTACTTACAAAGTAAATGGCCCAGACAAGTTAAGCCAAGAATTGTCTGTCTGCAACTCTTTAACTAAGTGAGGGACCCCAGGGCAGCCAGTGGAGAGGAAAAAGCTCAGACTATCCCCTGAGCACACCAGAGTATACACACTCCCCGCCCAGAGTACACAGAGCGCTTCCCTGCTTAGCCTCTTCCTGCTCGGAACCCACAGCTTTGCCCAGGCCAGCATTAGCACTTGAAAGGAGGAGATGACTGATGGGAAGGAGGCATCTGGGGCACAGCCACTTGCTGACTGGTCCCGGGAAATAAGGACAGCACCTGTACTTCTCCCAGATGGGGCTCCCGGGCTGATCGGCAGGCCAGTGTGGCACCCGTGGAGCCAGGAAGCACAGATTCTTGTTGAGGTGCTCAGTCACAAGCTTGATTTGGCCCACATGGGCATACATGACTTTTAGTTCAGGGTCCAGCATCAATGAAGGGTGTTTTACCAGAAAATCCAGGGATGTTTTGAGTACAACTCTTCCTTGAGGCCATTTGGAGAGTGTTTGGACC